TGTTCCCAGGCTCGTGTCTTGTCCTTTCGGCCCCTTGTGTTGCCACTCTGACAGGACACTGTTCTCTGCATTCTTAGTGTGTTACTGTTATACCCAAATGTTTTTATATCAGGGTTGTCACTGCGTCTACCCAGTTTCTGCTGGCCCCCGAAGTACTCCTCTACTTGATCCTGGCAGAACCATTCTGTGAGGACAAATTCAAACCCTTCCTTGGGCAAAAATTTTGTCACCTCGACAGCAGAACATACAGATATGCAGAAGCCCTCATATGTATGCCATGAGAGAACATTTGGTTTCTGGCATTCTGGGTGAAGTTACCCGGTCTGTTGTCAACATTCTCTTTCCAAGTCCTCAGATAGTCTAGGAACTCCGTCAACCATGCAAATCTAGCAAATAAAAGAAAAGTCATTAATTACTGTTTCTTGACTTGAATAACGCAATTAATAAAGTAAAAGATACCTCCACATAATAAGTACTCCACTATAAAATTGCACCTAAGCAGCTTTAATTGATTTACTAATTAAACAGAAGCTTTTTAAAGCAAAATAAATATTCCGATAAAAACCCCCATTGTAAAATTAAAAAATAGTATTTTATCACATTTAAATGTTGTTAGGTAGAAGGCCCTTTAATGGGGATAACCTCTGGGCCCTCCTTTTCAGGATTTGTAAATTCTGAATGATGAAGTATTATATATTTAGAAACCATTAACAATGGATGATTTTATACCCAGGGTTAACATTGTATTTTGCTAAATAATACTTTATAAATTAAACAAAATTTTAAAAAAATCAACAACACACCTTTCGTCATTAACAGAAGTATAAGGAGCCAAGAATGGTTTGCGCTTTCTCTGATGCTCTGTCATGCTTCTCACATTGAGACAATCAAAGAAGCCATCGATCACTTCGCAGAGTTTTGCAGTTGCTGCTGTGCCTGGAGGTCCAAACGTCTTCAGAACTGCAGCGACTGATGCAGTCAGGACTTGTGCAGCAAGATTCACCCGCATGACAGAATACGGGGTCAGGTTTACATGCTCGTATGACAGCCTAGGCAACAGCTTCAAGCCATTGCCTACATCCTGTTAGAAAATCTGTTTCTTCTTCGTCATTTTCGCCGTTTGAACTGCATTTGAAAATAAAGTAAAACACAACTAAGAAAGATGAAAATTAACCTTCAAGAAAATTCCAGAGAGATCGTAAATAAACAAAACCTTATGGAAAGCGAGAGCACATGTCTTCAATTTCTACTGTAAGCTTATATCGCAGCCGTACTTACATATTTCGAAATCTTCTACGTCGAAGTGTTTTTCACAGGTAAACACCTTGTCGTTTTCGATCCTTTTTCGAAATTCATGGTCGATCTCACGCGTCTTTGTGATTTCACTCAACCAATCGTCCCGCCACTTCTTGTGTGCCTCGTCCTTCGCTGCAGGCAGCATAGTGTAGCTATAACACTTATCGAATCGAGATTAATCTAAGCTAAAAATCTGGCGAAATACAGTGTGAGTCTCTGCACATTCACGTCACTCCGATCTCCATGTTGATTTTCCATGTGCACGGTCAAGATCGCGTGACTAAGGGAAAGCCATAACAAAGACATCGGCCTCTGATGTTTACCGGTTTTCATAACCAGTCCCCTCTACTAACTATGATTGCAGGTCGAAAACTGGCAAGTAAGTCCAATTTAGTTTATAAGAAGATTCAATTTCCTGTTCTGCTTAACTATACGATGAAAGTGAATTTCAACTTTATATGTATGTTCTTCATTGAAAACAAACTAAAACAGACTGTTCTTTTTTCAGTGCAGTAATGTGATGTACTGGACAAGCGAGCATGATGCCTGTTATGCAGAGAGGTTGTTTCCGAGAATCCGTTCAAAACAAGAAAGGGTTCGTCGCAAAGAAGCAAAATTTGGGATAGAATAGCCAACACTTTGAATACCTGTCCCAAGCCTTTCTTTGCTCTGGAAGAAAGGTCCGAGTAAATAAATATCGTTCTTGGAAAAACCGAAACTCAGTCTTACACTCATCATCTGTCATAGAATGAAGATCGAAGCGACCATACTTCTAATGAGGAAATTCGAGATTTTCAGAAGAATTTGAATTGTACAACAGGGCAAACTCTGTATCATCAATATTTCCATCTTGATAGGCAAACAATAACCTTCCCTAGCCTCTCTGAATGTTGCCATTTATGACGTATAACGGCAGCTATAAAACAAAAATATGTTTAGCGGAGTTTAAAGCAACCTTCACTTATTTCATTCAAACGCGACAAAAACATA